GGGAAACTGGATTTGAATAGGTAGAAAGTATTATTATTTTAACATTCAAATTTAGGGTTTCAGGGTTATCTGATAGATATATAAAGAGTCCTAAACCTAATCAAAATTGATCCCTAGCTTATCATAAAAAGAAATCGTATTTCTTCCTCTCCCATATCTCCTACATATTGATCCTATGGTCTCCTAGGGTTTTGGGTGTGACAAATAAGAGGCTACCACACTATTAGAGCTAGTATATCCAAGGAAATATACAAGAAGAAGTCTAGCATCAATTGTTTGTTGCTAAAGGTATGTTTATTATCCTCCTACATTTCGATTTTAGTAGGTCAAGTTGATGTTTCAAAAAGTATGTTGTTATAATAGTGAAAAATATCATAGAAGTTCTAGGTTGCATGTGCTCATAAGAGTTTATGAGTAAAAATATGATGTGAAAATCTTATTCTTTTAACATAGAAAACCCATCAAAAGTACGGTCTTTATCATGTATATCTAACTATATAAAGGAGTGTTAATATGGAAAGAAAACTAGTTCTTTCCCATAGATTCTCCCTGTCTTTTGTTGCCACATTTTCAAGGATATGAACCTCTCTCCTTTTTCTTATAATTGCAAGTTTATTGTTAGAGTTAAGAGCTTATATGTTCCTTCTCTTTAAGGTTTATTTGGTATAAATCTTAATGCTTAACAACAACATTGTCACACCCCCAAACCAGGACGACGGAAACGTCCGGCGGCGGATGACGTCATTGTATAGTATCACAACAGTTGAGTATAAATAAAACATTGCAACCCAAACATCATAAAATGAGAATACCAGTTTACATGGTTCACACACTATGTTTGTTCAAAAGTTACATATCAAATGTCTAAAAAGTAGAAATCCATGATGCAGCAACTCTTGTTCTCAAAATGATTTGAATACCTATTTACGGGTTCCCTGAGAACACAAGCGGTTTTGAAAAGCATCAACAATAATGTTGCTGAGTTCATAAGCATTTTGTATGAAAAGTTTCCGTAATTATTTTGTATACTTCAAGAAAATCCGATATTTTCTAATAAAATGGTTGTAAGTCTCATATCCAAAACTAAAAATGTACGTATGACTTTGGTATCTTTTCTTGTAAAATGATAGTGTATGTTCCCATAAAATACAATATTTTCTTATGTATGAACCATAGTCTTAAACCCTAAGACCAAAAATGTAAGAAATGTTGTACTATAAGATAGTATGTAGTTTTATTCGTTTGTAATACTAATGAGGTGTAAGCTTGCTATAAACCAATATATTATTGTTAATCCCTACATGAGTTATTATAACCATGCTTAATAAAACTTTTATGCCTAAACGATGCTCTTCAGGCGTCGGAATCGGTAGATATTTGTCACCCTAGACTTGCCGGTCTAACTGTAACGAACAGCTTAGGTGTGGGGTTGTCAATCTCATATATATCTATACACAACTATCTCGCTCTCTCTCTCTCTAGGAGACTCTGGTTATAATGCATGACTTAAAGTGTACGTTAGGTAGGTACAGTAAAGAGAATGTCTCACTAGAGCATTAAAGGATTTACGTGAACTACGACTCCCTTTCCATTGTATAATGAAATAATTATACCATTTGAAAATTTTTGAATATGTGGTTTTTTGACTCCCAAACTATACACTACTAGAAAAATAGCCTTTTACGATGTGCAATGTGTGTCGTAAAACGCTCAGATGACGCGCAAATGCGTGTCAAGAAAGGCCCTTTCATAACGAGAGACGACACACTTTTGTGCGTCGTCTATTTACGACGCACATTTATGACATGCAGTTACGACACACAATTATGACACGAAATGTGTATCAAGGAAGGCCCTGTCATAAAGGAAGACGACACACATTTGCGTGTCGTAACCGTACGACGCGCGTGTTTATGAGACGCAATGCGTATCAAGGAAGCCTCTGTCAAGAAAGACCATGTCGTAAATGAAGATGACACACATTTTTGAGTATCATAATTTTAAATGTTAAAAAAATATTATTTATAGATTTACTAATTATCAAATTAAATTTCCATTTAATGTCTCATAACAAAAAATAAAATACCATATATAAAAAATACAATCCATTGCATAAAATTTAATGTCATACAAAAAATCGATCCATGGAAAGATAAAACAAGTCAATAAAAGTTGTTTTCTCCCTATACATGATTATCACATACTAAATAACAAACTTTATTTCATATTCATACATATGATTACATTATTCATTAAAAAAACATATACCTACATCTCCCCCTAAAATGTTATTGCATGATGCAAGTTGGCCACTTCATTGATGGATCACCAAGAGGAAAACCAACAACTGCCCTAAAATGTTCCATGATGTGCCCATAATCATGTCCTGTAACTTTAAACATTTAATAAAGTAAAATACCTCCTAAAAATAAAATTGAACAAGAAACAACACATCGTAATGAGAACTTACTAACATGAATGGAAGAAGTACACTCTAAATTTGTTTTACCAAGAGTAGCATGGACGATCAGGTGCTACAAAGTTTGTCCAAGCTGCCAAACAAAGAGTGCTGCAAACCAAAACATACATACACTATAAATTTAATTACCATACAAATCATATTCATACATACGAGTTTGTTTTACCTTTTTTTCCTCATATCTTTATTTTTTTATTCTTATTAGCCATGGAGTGTTAGTGTTTTCTTTTCTCTTGTTCAATCAACCCTTTGTTTTACTTTGAAAAATTAACAATTTCCCTCCTAGTTGACTCTGCATCAAACAGAAAAAAGTAAGTCAATCAATAGTCAATGGAGTGCGGATGTCTTGATCTGAAACCGTTGTGCATCTTAAGAACAAGAAACTGTTGTAGTTCATGAACTAGACAACTATGGTTGATCTGCAATATTTCCCAAATATTTATTTATTCTGAATTATAAAAAAGACTAATACCTCTACTAATTCATTGTATAAAAGTCTAGCACATTGAAGACAATGATCTAACAACCGAGCTATTTGTCTTCGAACCAAAACTTCAAGTGGAACCTATATATATATATATATATATATATATATATATATATATATATATATATATATGTATTAAAGGGTTAAATTATTAATATAAATAAATAAATAAATAAATAAATAAATAAATAAACCTCTGGATCGAATGAAGTGGATCTAGGATCAGTTACATTGTGGATTGCAGTGCGACTGTCTTGATATTAGAACAACAATTGCTTCCACAAGTCCATCTGGTAAATCCACACGCATACGTGGCATTTTTTATATTAGAACAGCTTCCACAAGTCCATTCTCTGTCTATTTAATGTGAAATGACGTAAATTCCCCTACATACAATGAGCTATATATAACTCTTCACAATGTAATTGGATACAAACCTCACGAGTTCCTAGCTGATTAAGCTGATAAGATCCATGCAAACATAATTACTTTACCTAAAATTAAAACAGTATTGATGCTTTTAACTTTTTATGATTATTATTTATTATATATGTTAATTAACCTTTTGTGGTTTAACTTATAAGTATGTAAAACTCACTACACTGTCTAGCCAACCAGTTGAAAGTGCTGAAGAAATTGATTGCTATTATGCAACTTCATTTTCAACTGTCTGTATATTAATAATTTGTGTTTGAAATTCCACCAATCTCAAATGGAAAGTTGGCACTTGTCCAGAAAACAAACTATCATAATCCTGAGAGAATCAGAGAAGTAATTGAAAGCCATACCAATTTTTCTAAATAAATTCTCATTTGAAAAGAATTAATTGAAAGCCATACCAGTTTTTCCAAAACTTCTATCAGTCATCAAGTTGAATTAGTTCCTCGCATATCAGATTTTTGAAAGCTAGCTTCTCTGCTTTTTTCATCACAAAATGCCACCGGTAGTTAGATATTTACTTCATTTTTATGACAATAAGGTGTGTATAGCATAACTCCACCACAAAATTGCTTGACAAAATAGTTTTCTTTTCATCTACCACAATCTGATCAAGAAAAAAAATGGATTGCTATGAGAGAAAGAGAAAGAAGTTAGTGGAAAGACAATGAGGAAAAATAATGCAACTGAAAATAATTTCAGAACCTGAAAATCTAGAGTTTTAGCAGCGACAGAGAGGATGAGCTGGCACCAACTCTAATTTGGGTCAACCACTCTTTAATCAACATATCTGCACCTACAAAAAAAATCCCATATAATCATGGACAGTTTATAGAAAAAGAATAATAATTGAATTATTGAAAAACTAGTTTGAGGTATAAGTAGGATTTTTATGTTCTAAGGTTTTTTTTTGGCATAAATAACTAAAACTTCAATTGAAGATTAGACAAATTCAATTGCGTTTCTGAAAAATAAACACTTGAAGATTCAGTCTTGACTTGTTAATACATTTCCAAGCTCATCCAAATTATTAGGGCAAGATTTCCTTCATACTCAACACGCTACCCCTTTGGCCCGGGTCTTGCAACAACATTGCCTTAGCAAGGGTTAGAAAAGAATTACATGAATCTTGCATGTAAATTTAGTTCATGTCTGCTTCAAAGTTGACAATCAGACGGTATGTAACTTTCTTGTCATTAGCACGAACAGCCTCCCAGATATGTTGTGTAACTACATCACCTAAGTGCTTATTCAAGAAAAGACATGCCCATAAATTTTCAGCACTCATGTAACATTCCATCTCCTCAATGTTCCTTTACTTCAATCTGTTCTAAATTTAGGCAAAATCAGTGTTATATAAATGAACATTATGCTTATAAAGCAAGACAATCAATATAAATTACTACATTACCTCTTTGAATCAGGTCAAATAGTATTGAATCATCTGTGTTGTGTATTTTCTTGGTACTTTGTCACAACAACACCAAAAACACAAACTCTAGTACTTCCACATAAAAAAGGTTGTATCCTTATCATTATCGATTTCAACAATATGTTACATATGGATTTATATATCAATATAATGAGATTGGAGTACTATAGATGGTACCTAAAGTTTGCTGAAGCAGAGTCACAAGCTTCAATAATGCCAACAGAGGTGTTAAGATCATTCTTGTTGCCAGTCACTGGCAAAAATTTCAGGAGCAAGAAAGTAGTCCCCGGAGTACCATCACAAAGAGTAAAGTCGACGTATATTCTTCTTTCAATGGTCTGCCATGTGTTCACCACAACCTATTAAACATTTCTACAAACACGTTGTAGGCATGAACACAAATGCAGAAAACCAAGAAACACGTAGTTCCCCCAAAAGATTCAGTATCTATAACCATGTGTGTGTGAGAGAGAGAGAGATAATGTAAAAAAAATATAAACTTGGCAGATGCAATATCATTGGCTTCAGCAGACAAAAGGCCAGCTACAACTTTTGGGACACATAAGAAAGGTCCACCAATGTTCATCACTGCCTTTATGTGTTTAGCACACCAATTTGGTCCACCACCACCACCACCCATCGGAGCTGGTACTTCCACCCACTTCATGAAATGTAAAAAGTAGCTAACACCCATTGAATGTGGAATCACACCCGCCTTATCCCACCATTTGTAGCAACCATTAGTTCTATATTTCTCTTGATCCTGCTCAATGATTGGTCTCTGACCTGAACATCATAAAATCCCATGTCTTAATCTATATGAGAATGAGAAAGTAAAAGGAATCACACATGAAAGAAATACATGTTACGTACCTCTGTATTTTGAAAAGAGAGCCTCCATTCATATGCAACCATGGACATGTTCTTCTCTTCATACCCAACACGAGCTAAGTTAGCTATCAAAACAGCCCATACAAAATATCCTGGAGCAAAGTAGTCAGCAGCTAAAAGTCTACTCACGGGTTTGACCAGTATACCCGATAGATCCATCCCTGTTTTGTTATCCAAAGACATATGTTGCACCCAGCATGAAGATCTGCAAGATAATCATTACAAGAACCCATTCATATCAAAACAAACATTATTGCTATTCGATCGATTGAGGTTGATTTCAATTTCAATTTCCAGCAGTGTAAAATATGCCAGAATTTGCTAGACTACATGTAGATGATGATGATAGCGTATACGTCTTGCAAGAAATTGAAACCCAAAAGGCCAAAAGTGTCGAATATTCATAGATTAGAAGTCAAATCTTACTTTGAATTCCCTTTTTTTGGTAATTTTGTACGTTAAACAAATTAGATCTTCACCAATCAATCAAATCACTAGAGAAGAAACAAAAATGATGGTGAGGTAGGTAATACCTCTTATAGACTTTGCCAAACGTCCCATCCCAAAGCCTCTTTCGGAACAATCTATCCGTACACTGATGCCCTTCCCACAGCTCAAGTCCACCGGTTACAATCCCCGACACAAACACCATCGGATGCTTCACCTTCAAACCTTCTTTCAAACATTTAACACTGGGAGGATCCAGAAAAGGTCCGATAATTGCCTCCGTCACAAACTGTGGGAAAGAGGCAGGCATCACGTTGTATAGAAACAACAACAGCCACCATGTTGTGCATATGCATCCTACAAACCAACAATAGTTTATTTAGATAAGAATTGGATAAGGAGCAACAAAAAAATCAGTTATGCTTCTCTTTTGTTCTCTCGGCTAGATAGAGATATCGACATCAAAGAGAGGATTCAGAGAGGAATTTACAGAAGGTGCATAAAGAGGGGTGAAATAAGATCCAATGGTCGTTGAACTCTTGGAATCAAGCCCTACGACTTCTGATCAACACATTAAGGATGACGACGTTATTGCGAGGGAGGCTTGTTGTGTGAGACAGATCACAAAGAAGATTTGATGGTCATTAAACCAGACCTAGGGCTTGTAAACTTGAGCATCTATGGCAGTCTCCATCGAGGTAAGGTTAGCCAAAGCTTTCCGGCTAGAAGAGATGAGTCGAGATCGTTGGTAGATGAGGTGAGCCAAGATAGCGAAAGTTTGCAGATAGCACTCCCATCTTTAAAAGAACCCTAGAATGATCCCTTCGAATTTTTGATAAAATAAATAGTCTGGAGTGGCGTTCAAAGAGTTATAAAGCGACATACTTACACGACACGCCTTTTATTATGGTTACCCTCTGTGTTTTTATTTTTATTTTTTTATGATACAAATTCTAGGGCACGCAAATAATGCGTGTCCTAAATCCTTCAAAATCGTGGAGAGATGGCGTGATTTTTACATCACACACTTTTGCGTATCGTAAATTCGTGCGCGTCATGAATTGCATGTCATTAAAGGACTTTTTTCTAGCAGTGCTACCAGTTATAGTTTGCCTAGTATATTTTTGTGTGCGCTATTTATATAAACTTTTATATAAATATAAAGTTGAATTCTTGTATAGTGTTAATATATGTTATTAAAACATAATATCCTTAAGTTTTAACCCACCAAAATAGTAATGACTAAAATATAACAATTTTTACTAGAAATGCTATTTTTTTAGTAAAAATTAGCAAAAACTTGTAGTTTGTACAACACATATTTTTCCTGTTTATGTTTCTTATCACGAAATGAGTTAAGTTTTCGTTATCTTTGCATACAAACTTCATATTTTACGAATTTTGTGTAGAAAAGAGTGATCATATCAACATTTTATACCACTAATATACCATATTCCAATAATAAAAGTGAAACATGCAAGTATCCATAAGAAAAACATATTTTGACTTGTATTCCCCCCCCCCCCCAAATTGCATGGAAAACTCGAAAAATAGGGGTATGAAGCTCGCCTTGGTATGTTTTCGTGGGTGTCTTAAAAAGATGAGAATTTCGAGCCTAGCTTCTTGAGTGAAGTTGGTAAACTTCTTGGAAGTGTGATTATCCTAGGGGTTAACACATTATAATGTGTATAAGGATGATGGAATTAACTTAAACATGATTAGAAACACTAGATATATGTGGAATGCTTACAAAATTCACAAGAATCGTCCTTGAGATGATGAGTCTTGAAGGAAAATGGTCTTGTTTCTAGAGAGAAGATGAAGTTGTAGTGGAAAGGAGATGACAAGAGTGGGATATACCCACTCTCAGTGAGAGTTATAAGGAGAAGGGAAAGAGTGACTTTGTTGTTATTTGGACTCCTAGTATGGAGATTTGATGGTTACTTAAGTGTCATGTATGGAACCTTGTTGTGTATGGGTGTGGATGGCATGGAAGTTTGGTGGTTAAAGAGAGGTAAAGATGAGATGCCAACATGCAAGGTTAATGCCTTGGATGCTACACCCAAATGAAATCTCCTAGCCGAGGAGGAGGGTTTTCGGTTTTTTTCCTAGATGCATTTGTGTTTTCGGCCTTATTGGGCTATCCCTAGGGCTTTCGGTCCTTAAGGCCCCATTAGAAGGGTTTTAGGTCAAGAGGTTTTCTTGGCCAAAAACCTTGAAGTAAATACCCACTTTTGATTTATGTTTAACTATTTGATCTAATTTGGACTTCTAAGAGTTTTTTAAAAACATGATTCTTAGTGTTTGCATATATATATATATATATATATATATATATATATATATACACTCTTATAACAATGTCATTTTTGATTTACAGCATCAACTGCAACAAGGTTACATTGTGTATTCATTTGTACATGGTTACAATCTAGACTGTACTTGACCCTAAATTTACTAGTTGTCACATCATCCCCCTGTTAAATGGAATTTTGTCCTGAAATTAGTTCAGAGAAGTCATCAAGAACTGGCGAAGATATGTGGGTACTTCTGTTTCATTTGGTCTTCACGTTCCCAGGTGAACTCAGGTCTTCGCTTAGCGCTCCATCGAAACTTCACAATTGGGATGTGACTTTGTTTCGTTTCACCTCCCTGTTTATTATTTCTACGGGTTCCTTGATGAAATGGAGGTTCTCGTTTATTTCAATCTCATCAAGTGGGATTGTCAGGTTTCAACAGACAGGTGTTTCTTTAGGTTAGAAACATTGAAGACATGATGTACATTGTCGAGCTCTTGTGGTAGTTGAAGCTTGTAAGCCACCGCACTGATCCTGGTAAGGATCTCGAATGGTCTGATGCATCTTGGATTCAGTTTTCCATGATTTCCAAAGCATATCATCTCTTTCCAAGGAGAGACCTTTAGTATCATGAGGTCGCCAACTTGAAATTCTAAGGGCTTCCGTCGTTTATCCGCGTAGCTCTTTTGTTGGTCTCTAGACGCTTTTAATTGCTCCCTAATTTGTCGATCTTCTCGGTTGTCTCCCTGATGATCTTGGAAATAGTGAGAGTGTTTTCAGGTACTTGCCCTTTTGCCAGCTATGTGTCTCTTACCTAAGCCCAACACAGAGGTGATCGACATTTATGTCCATATAGAGCCTCAAATGGAGTTACCTTGATGCTAGTGTGATAGTTGCTGTTGTACGAGAACTCAATGAGTGGCAAGTGGGGTATCCCAAGCTTTACCAAAGTCTATCACACAAGTTCTTAGCATATCCTCTAATGTCTAGATGGTCCCCTCATTTTGCCCGTTTGTTTGAGGATGGTAGGTTGTACTCATCTCAAGCTTGGTTCCCAAGGACTTCTGAAGTGAGTGCCAAAATTGTGAGGTGAATCTACTATCTCTGTCGAAGATAATAGATATTGGCACGCCATGTAATCTCATGATCTCTTTTATATAAGTCCTAGTTAACCTCTCCATTTTGTCAGTTTCCTTTATTGTCAGGAAGTGGGCGAATTTGGTTAACCGGTCGACGATCACCCAAATGGTATCCACTCCATTCTTCATCTTGGGCAATTTGGTGATGAAAACCATGGTTATCCGTTCCCACTTTTGCTCGGTTATGTCTAGTTGTTGCAGTAGACCCAAGGGCTTCTGGTATTCCACCTTAACTTTGGCACAAGTCAGGCAGTCATTCATGTATGTAGCGATTCCAGCCTTCATGTTTGGCCACCAATAAAGTTTCCTGAGATCCTGGTACATCTTGTCGGAACCCGGATGGATGGAGTACTTTATCTTGTGGGTTCATTCATGACCACGTCTTTGTACCCACCGAACTTCGGTGTCCAGATTCAATCCAGAAGGTAGTAGGCTCTGTCGTCCTTGACTGTAAGGTTCTAGTCCATCCCTCGCAAGGCTTCTTTTGAGATAGTTTCTAGCTTCAAGGCTTCCAGCTAAGCTTCTTTGATTTGAGAAGATAGGTGGGAGTGGATGGTCATTGTTGGTGACTTTACTCGGCGACCCGGGTGTTCTTTCCGGATCAGGGCATCTGTCACCACGTTAGATTTGCCCAGATGGTATCGTATCTCGCACTCGTTGTCGTTTAGTAGTTCTACCCATCTTCGATGCCTCATGTTAAGCTCTTTCTAGTTTAGAATGTGTTGGAGGCTTTTGTGATCCGTGAAAATGGTGCACTTTGTACCATAAAGGTAGTGCCTCCAGATCTTTAGTGTAAACATGACTGCTCTCAGCTCAAAGTCATGTATGGTGCAGTTCACCTCATGGGTCTTTAGTTGTCTTGATGCATAGGCTATGACCTTTCCTCGCTGCATGAGTACGCAACCTAATCGTTGATTGGATGCGTCATAATAGACCACGAAGTCTTATGTCCCTTCTGGGAGAGACAAGACTGGGGCACTACATAGATTTTGTTTCAAGGTTTGAAAAGTAGCATCTTGTTTCCTCTCCCAGATGAAGGTTACACCCTTCTGTGTTAAGGCGATGAACGGTTTAGCGATTTTGGAGAAATTCTGTATGAACCTCCTGTAGTAACCAATGAGGCCTAAGAATTGTCTGATCTCTATTGGGGTTCTTGGTGTTGCGCAACCTTAGATTGCCTAGATTTTGGAAGGGTCCACATGTATTCCTTCTTCGCTGACTACATGACCTAAGAAATCCACCCTTCGGATCTAGAACTTGCATTTTGAGAACTTTGCATACAGCTTCTCTACCCTTAATGTTTCTAAAACTTGCCACGGGTATTCATTGTGTTCTTCTTTACTTCATGAGTAGAGCAGTATATCACCGATGAATACTATCACGAATTTTTCAAGGTAAGATCAGCACACCCGGTTCATTATATCCATGAATGCAGTGGGCGTATTTTTTAGACCGAAAGGCATTACTATGAATTCATAGTGACCGTAGCTTGTTCGGAATGCGGTCTTGGGGATATCTTCCTCTCGGACTAATAGTTGGTGGTATCCGGATCTTAAATCTATCTTTGAAATGTAACTTGACCGTTGTAACTAGTCGAATAGGTCGTCGATCCAGGGAAGAGGGTATCGGTTTTTGATGGTGAGCTTGTTGAGTTCTCGGTAATCGATGCACATGCGAAATGACCCATCTTTCTTCTTTACAAATAAGACCGGAGCTACCCAGGGTGAGAAGCTTGGCCTTATGAATCCCTTGTCCACTAATTCACTCAATTGGCTGGAAAGTTCTTGCATCTCTACAGGAGCTAATCTATACGGTGACTTGGCGATAAGTGTGCCTCCGGGTATAAATTCGATTCTAAATTCGACTTGTCGTTT